CCCTCCTTGGCGGAGGCTCCTTTCTCCGAGGCTGGCTGTGGAGCACGCCTGTAAGGGACCGACTGCTAAGCATTTTGTACTCGGCCGTATTTAATGCAAGTTCTGTCCTTAAAAAATACTGGGGTTTCTCGGCGGAGGCCGGCTTGTTGGGTTGCACGGATTAGCGCTAAACCTCACTGTGCGTTAAACCTCGGGGTTTGACTCCAGGCCTCTCGTTCCAGGTGTGCGTGGAGGGCAGGGCGATGGCTGTCACTGTGCAAGAGTGCCTGGAGCTCCAGCTGCTGGAAGTGGAAATGCTCCTTTCAATGTTCCCCAAAAAAGGTGAAATAAATCTGGATGAGGATGCTGTGCCCGGCGTGCAGCGCTACCTGAGAAATGCTGATGGAGCTCTGCCCCCACGGCTTGAATACTCAATCGCTATTGATGTAGGGGAGGCAAAGGTGAGAACTTCCACGTAGACGTGTTCATGTGTGTTGTTTTCTTTACTCCATGTGCAGACACTTAAAAACTGCCCTGAAAAAAGGGAAAAAGACCACCTAATTTCTGTTTGCTGTTTTGAAAGTGAAGAGTAACAAAAAAGTCTTAGTTTTTATTATTTATTTGAGTCTTAACTTTCTCTGGGCAAGAAAGGCTAATAGAATGGCAGATAGGAATAGACAACTGACATCAGTGGCACACACAGCATTCACAAGAGTTTAGGTAGGGTTGTGTCCACATGAGGGTTGTTAGTTTACTGGTTTACAAAGAGCTGTGTGTTACAGAGGCAACGCTCCCCTCGTGGGAATACGTATGTTGGACTTTACATTATTCTAGCAAAACCGCCCTACTATTTCTCTCTTCCACCCCTTGCCATGTTTACTAACACTCATTGATCTGTATTTGAAATACGGTAATGTAAAAATAGCCCCAAATGGCAGAATACTATTATTAAGAAGAGTCACACAAACACTAAAACAAAACCAGCCTATAAACTGCGATACAAACCCCCAAACTTACAGTATAAGGAGTTCCAATAGTTAATTCTATTGAAGAAAAGGTTACGTATGACAGCTAAGCGATGTAAATACTTGCACAGAGAACATAGCCATTAGTGTAGGTCTGAGTATATAATAATACAATGACTGGAAATGGAAAACCAACAAACTCAACCTAGAAGTATATGCGTTTTCGTAGGAATGAGGATAATTAAACTTCAGAACAATTTACTGGGTAATGCGGTGGCCTCATGATTATTTGGAAACTTATGTACAAGACTGGGTATCTTTCTAAAATGCACCCTTTCGCCAGCCTTCAGAGAAGTTTTATGAACTGTGTAGGGAGGGCTTCTGCAGGAAGAATTTTTTTTCCATGGCAGATTGCCAAGGAACTTGGAAAGATAATCGGTCATTTCACGATTCACTTCTCTCTGCAAGACTAATAATTTGATTGTATACTGAAGTGAAAGTCCCCTAATGCTACACAAGAGCCTCAGGCACTGAGGACACATGAATTCTCTCCTGCTCTTGGACCACAGGCAGGATTCAGTTGCCAAAGAACTGAGGTGCTTCATTTTAAGACACTGTAGGAACAATCAAGAGCAATTCAACAGCCCGTGGTTTGTAGGAGATCAGGCAAGATAATCTAAAGGTTTCCTGGGCCTAAAATGCACATAAATTTTTTTTATCCCCTATAATCCTGAAAATGCTTCCTCTGTTAGGGTGAATACTTGCTTAAAATTATAATGATGTCTCTATATACAATAGGTACAATCATAAGCACTTTTTCTTATGACTCTTGGCCTTCTCTTCCTGGGGGAGATCCAGCAACTGGGCTGAGTTCATCGATCAGATGTGCATTTGGTAAGGGACACGATTCTCAAAAGCCACTTGCCCCTTGACTCTGACAGACTGGTAGTTTATCACTGTAGCAACACTGAGCACGTACTGAGAATATGCACTAGAAATACCCCTAGAGGGTAACTGTGTACCTTCTTTCCAGCCACAGCACTATTTCTGTGAACAGCAGAAACATCAGGTATGTTGGGAAAGTCCCAGCATGGTGCAAGAAAAGAAGCAGACAAAAGGAAAGCTGAAGAAGTAATTCCAGTCGTTAGGATGTTGCAATCTTAATTACATTTCCTCATTATCTGCCTTTGACAGGGAAGAAGAATCTAGCATGTCTTTCAGTAGCTGCAGAATTAATTTTCTTTTTGTGTATGTGTTCTGTTTTTAAGGTAAAAGTGGATTTGCAGGTACTGCTGCCTCATATGTATCCTCATGTAGCTCCTCAGCTTTTTGCAAGATCACATGCACTGCACAGACAGCAACAGTTGCAGCTCAACACTCGACTCGCTTCTCACATCAGCTCTTTAGATTCAGGTGAACTGTGTGTATATGAAGCTGTGCAATGGGTGAAAGAAAACAGCCTGCCTTACTTGGAAAACAGTAAGATCTCTTCTGAAAGTGCTTCAAAAGAAGTCGTAGTTAAAGAAACATTGCATCGCATGTGGATCTACAGCCATCATATATATAGGCAGGAATTGAGGAAAAAGATTTTTGACTGTGCAAAGAAGTTAAATCTGACCGGCTTCTGCCTAACAGGGAAACCTGGTGTGATCTGTGTAGAGGGACTCCGAGAAAACTGTGAAGGGTTTTGGCGTGCTATTAGGTATCCCAACTGGAAGCATATTTCATGCAAGCATGTGGAGAATGTAGAAACGGAGGGAAGCATCGATAATCTTCGTCTCTTTCGGGCTTTTGAAGACCTACAGCTGCAGGCACATGGCGATTATGGCCTGAGGAACGACTATCACATGGATCTTGGCCAGTTCTTAGAATTCCTGAAACAACATCAAAGTGGACATATCTTTCAGATTTTATTCGGTGTCGAAGGCAAACTTCCAGACAAATAAGAGAAACTGTGCAAGGAGTTCTAATTTTGGACAGCAAGAGATGACGCTAACATTGAAATATTGTGCCTTATAGCTACTGTGAAAAGGGAAACTGTTTAACACACGAGAACAACAGTTCAAGTAGTTAATCTATCTTAGCTTCTGTTCTGAATTTTGGGAGGTGTTTACTTATTTTCCGAGACCCTAAAAGTGGCATTTGTCACTATGAGCCACGCCTCAAAGTGCTTGCAAGGTGCTAAACATCCCACGCTGTAGTATCCTGAATTACACTCTTCTGTCTCCTCATCTATACTGTGCTGTGTGCTACTAAGCTGCGGTGCAGACCTCTAGTTAACTTCTACATACAGCTGTGGGATACCAAAGTAGCTGCGGTCACAGATTGATGTGGTTTCCAACACAAAAGCACACCCCGCTCAGGGAAATCTCACAGCTACATTCATGGATTAGTGCATGCAATGTCTTTTACTGCTTCACGGAGCATCAGCTCTCACTTCGTTCAGCCAATCCGTGAAAGCAAAGGCTTGTGTCCAACCACAGGACCAAGTTTTGCTTTTAACTAAAGGGCGGGGAGGGGGGAGGAGAAAGAAGCCCACATGACCCATCCCTTGTATGCTTTGGGCGATACGTATATTGCCAATACCACCGCAATTTTTGCAAAGGTCCTCTTCCTATCATCTCATTACGGTCTGGTTATGTCAATAGTAATTTTTCAGCTGCTCAAGTCATGGCGTTTTACATTTACATTGTTAGGCCAAGCACCTTGGAAATGAAAATGTGTAAGGTGAGACAAAGCTTAGTGTTTCCTCTTTTTTCCTCCTACGTTACATAAGGAAATACACGTAAAAAATATAAAAATGAAAAAACTATAAATATATATTAAAGAAAAATACATGAAACTTTACGAATTTTTTCTATGGCAAATTAGTACCGAGAGACAATTTTCCAGTAGCTTGTAACAGGAAATGATATTAATGGCTCATTAGGCAGCGCTTTCCTACAGGGTAGTGCGCTGAGTGTGCATTTAGATAGTGAATTGCAACTCAGTCTTCCAATTTATAATGGATTATCATATTTAAATGTCATCAATATAAGATCATAGAATCGTAGAATAGTTTGGCTTGGAAGGGTCCTTATATAGATGAAGAATGCTACTGAAAAGTCCCCAGTAGCTGTGCCTTGAAGAACCAGCAGCTTACCGCCTTCCACTTTGTCACTGAGCACCGTAACGTGAAAATCGGTACCGAGCAATAAAAGCAGACTTACTGCTGAGCTGTAGAGGTTTGGCTGTTCGAATCTACAAACCAGGCCATTTCGACAGCAGCTATTTAAAGACTGTGTTTCAGTACACTCCGCTGACGACTACAAAAATAATGGATATTATTTTACTTCAAATAAAACACAAGGAAGTGTTTTAATACTTCTTTCGTAATAGCAAGATACTGAAATACAGAGGATGGCAGTATTTCTGGTTGCTCAGAATGATGATTAACGTACGTTCCTGCACTCTGGTAAGTATATTGTATGTATGATCGTAACTTTGGCCAAAAGCACAGCAAGGCAAAAAATGTTTACAGGTTCCCGTTATGCAATGAGGGAGACCGTGCCTCTCCTCTTTGTGAATTCAGGACCTGCAGTCTGCAGCTGTGGCAGAGCCAAGGGGCTGGACAAAAAAAAGAACATTTTTGGTTTTGCAGAGGTACCTCTATAGCACGATACCAGAAAAAACGTTCCAAGTACGCTTTGCTTCTGGAACTGTCCAGAAAGTATATTACATTTTTCTTGGAGTGGTAATTCTGTAACAACTAATAATTCTTTGGGGTTTTTTTTGGGTTTTTAGAACGTTGATGTACGAGTGCAGATTCCATATGGTCGTGACTCAGAAACAATAAAACAATTTGCGTTCAGTCCAGTTGGGAGGTTGCCAAATGATAAACTTTTTCCTTTAAAGTAGCAAAACAAACCGGTTTAGAAATAGGCCTTATCCACGAGATTTCAGCCAGAAGGAAATGGGAAAGGCAACGCTGGCACAGCTCAGAAAGTCTGTGCAGGAGGATGGTCAAACAATGCGGAGATAGAGCTATCTAAAGCTTTATTCCGAGCACAAGATTTGCTCATTTTTTCTAAAGGAGGAAACCGCTGATTGTACAAGCCAATCGTGTATCCTCCTAAGGAAAACCACAGACTTTTATTTCTGGAAATGCTAATTATGAATCCAGAATAATGCAGGTCACGAGCAGTGTCCCTGGATGCTTCTGGTGAGGTTTGCAGAGGGAGTCACTTGTTTTTGCAGAAGAATAAGGGTCACCGGCTGGTATCACTTTTGATAACTGGTTGACAGGTGAGAAAGGGTAAAAACAAGTAAGATCTCTTGAGCTGAAATTAGTGTGTAGATGAACATACTCAGCGTGCTGAATTATCAATGAAGTTGTAAAAACTATTTTAAAGACCATACTGAAGAAATTGAGCTAACCAGATCATTCAAATAGTAGCAAGCGAGAGGAATATTCAGTAAATATCACAGGATTAATAAAACGTGTTTGGTCCCCCCATAATGATATACTCTTTTCCCCATAATAGTTAGTCATCTAGTAGACCTCAGCTGGGTGATTTGGAAGTTTGTTACAAAGAATAACACTTTATCACGTGATGTGTGTTGAAAAATACATTGGCCTCAAATACTACAGGAATTCATTAGGTTTAATACATAAAAAACCTACTACTAGCCAGATAACTGCTGTTTGTAAGAAAACGCTTAATCAAAAAGAAGCCTATTTATGGCACTTTGATACTCCCTTTTTGTCAAGAAGATGGAGTCCAAGCACTTCCATGAACTTTAGGCCAAACAATTATGGCATATCAAAACAGCAGTCATCTTGCTGGGGGAATGAAATCTTTAATCACTTACAGGGCTTTAGCTTAGCTAAGTAACATTAAAGTATTCTAAGCAGGTGTGAACAAAAGGTTCTGCAGGTTCAGTTCTCATTAGAAAATTTTCATGACTCCAAGCAGGCTTTTCTTCGGAGGAAAATATTCTAAACTTACTGTTCTTTAAAGCTTTTTTTTTAATAATAGTGTGACAATTAATGCAAATTACATCGTGACCTGTAATGGATTAAACAGTCATCGTAGGCATTTCTTAATTTTCCATGGTACCATTTCTCTGCTTAAGTTCCCTTTGACATTCGTGACAGAACTCTCAACTCAAGGTACAACCCCTTATTTCGATAACAAAAAGATCCGTAAAACTGTAGTGTAGGATATCTCAATTAAAATAACAATCAAAATAACCAAACAATACAAATATATTTCTCAGACTAACTTTTATTTTCTGATGTATAATTAATATGATTTCTTGATCCGAGTTTCTAACCACATATTACAATTTAGAAAAAAAGTTTTCTGCATCTTAAAAAATTAGCTATTCTTATAGGCTTCTTAGGCAGAAATGTTCTGAATATTTTAATGCTTTTCAACTGCTGCTAGTTTGTTCATTCTTCATTAAATATTTACAGTTTCACTTTCATGGCTTCTTCAGGCCAGGTGTAGGAGTCAGCCACAAAGCTGTGGTAGTTGGTACTATAAACCTGAGAGCGGACGAAGGCTTCTAGGTCCTTGGGCTGAGGATAGGTGGAGGCAGTGTTATTCCTGTAGGCTTCTTCTGCGATCTAGAAAGATGCATTAAAATCCTAATTAATGCTGATAAACTATTTGAGTACATTTAACAGAATTTAAAAGTAGGAATTAGTTCAAAATCAAGGTAAGACCTCATCTTCTCCGGTGCTGACAGTCACCTATATTCACACTGGATCGGGGCAGGTGCACAGCGAATAAGACTAGGAACAGGATGATGTTTGCATTTAAGTGAGTCTGACTCATGCTACTTTTGAACAGGATTACGTGTCTTTGCTGTTAACAAATACAGCGCTCCTCCTCCTCCTCCAGTAATATCTTAGCTTTTATTGTGCAGTGGTGGATAAAATATTCCACTAACCCCAAGCACTGAGATACAATTTCTGCTTTTCCATCATCAGGTTACCCTGGTTTACCATCTTCTCCAAAGCACCGTAAGAAAAGTGTGATTTGTTCAAAGCCTCCATGCTCCCTGCATATTAGGGAAGTTCATTATTTGCCATAGTTTGATAATATATTTCTTAAAGGTAAACTCACGAGAAAAAAGTAGCCCTACACAGTGCACAGGTTTAACGCTAGAGATGGTTGGGGGCAATACGAATATATGCTTGCTTTTTCCTCACCCAGACCATACCTAAGTGAACCAATTATGCATGACAAGTATAGCTGCAACAAAACTCAAGTTTAGAAGGGGTTGGAGCCCACTCAACACATCAAAGTAGCCTCTCACGTCTGAAGAACACCGACTTGAGAAATGCGTATCTTTAGACTGGACATTCATCCATGAAACAAAAGAAGTTTGACAGACTGGTTTTATGCAGCAGCACTCTTTGGAAAGATCTGCTTCAAACTATTATTTGGCAAACAGACAAACGCTCCTACTTTGACTAAAAGGAAGACGGTCTCCTTCCTGCTCTCCTTAGCTCTCTCTTTAAAACATAAATGTTTTAGCTTGGTGAGAAGCTGAGACCCCAAGTTACTGTATTTAGACTTCCTTTCTAGGATTAATCTGAAACCCAACCTGATTTGACTGAGAAGCACTTTGGGTGTTTATTTAAGTGTTCATCTTCAGGTCTGTGCGCATAATTATCACGGTTGAATAAGGTCTGAATTTATACCCCACGTTTGGTATTCCAAAAAATTTTGAGAGTATTCCTCCCCTGGAAAAGGCAGAGGCCATCGCTAAACCTCTTGGGCTGTATGAGCCAGAACAGGTATTTGCAGGAATAAAGTTTCAACAGAGATCAGGCAGAAAGAATCGTTTGGTAACATTTTCCTTTTTTGTATTTTATATCACGTGCACAAGTAGAGGAGGAATTTCTGTCACTGTATTTCTGCCAACCACCCAGGCAGTTTGATTTTGCCTGAGGAATCTAGGTAACATTTTGACATCTACAGAACGGAGATCTTACTTGCCTAAGAAGACATGAACTGTGAGGAGGACTTTTTTTTTTTTTTTAAATATACAGAATGATGTTTCATGCACGAGGGCTCCTTGTTATTCTTTCAAAAGAATATGCAGTAAGTGGAATTATTCACAGTAAGGTGACCAAGAGAGAAAACAATAATTGGAGCAAAAAAGGTCACAGAAGACCAGCAAAATAACCTCCTAAAATGCTGGGGAAAAAAACCCTAAAAAACAGAACGAGGGAG